GAAGGTTTTAAAATAGAAACTTTAAAGAGCCAGAGAACTCATTTTTCCTTTTTCATTTTTGATAGATTCTAAAAGCTGGAAATTCAGTAAATGTTGCATTAAAACCCATATATATTTTTTTTCTTTTTGCTCATAGTAAAAGGAGAGCTAATCTACAATCTTCCATTGAAATAAATGGATTAGAATGAGAAAGGAAATTGTCATAATAGTGAGTCATATAGTCTTGGAAGTCAGAAGGCACTAATTAAATGTTGGGCTTTTTCTAGTCATATCAAGTTAACTTGGCTATAGGAACTGGATTCTTCATTTCTAAAATACTTTCTTGGAATACTGATATGGATCTTCTTTTTTGGTAAACAAAGGGAAGTTAAAGGTATTGGTAAAGGATTTTTTTGTTTTGTTTTGACACCTGTTTTTCTGCTTCTGAAAGCTTTTGGGTCATAAGATTTTCATTTCTGAAGTTATTAGTCATTGGTTTGTTATTTATTAAATGTTTGTAAACTTAGTTATTGTCAGAGGAGTCTTATATAAACATGATTCTGCCTTGAAGGCATTGTGGTGTGTATAAGCAGTGTACTTAAGATATATACTTATTATATTATGTAAGTAATACCTATTTGAGGCTTATGGAATGTATCAGAACTTTGTAATAATTGTTACTGACAGTGAGAAAGAGAGATGATGGGAGACCATTAAAATATGCCAATGCGTATTGATTTTTTTCCTCGAGTTTTCTGAGATGAAAAATTTTAAATTTGCTTTATGCTATATAATGTTGGAATGTCAGGGTTGGTCAATATTTGAAAATCTTTTAATATATAACTTCAATATAATCTTTTAATATATAACAGGCCAAGTAAGACTATATAGGTAGATATATAGATGCCAGAAGACATCTCATTTAATTCACTATGCATTTCTTATAATAGATACTCTCTTGATCATGGTAAGGAACTATCTACTTCAGATCAATAACAGTCAATGAATTTAAAACTAAAATGATGGAAACCTACTGTTAATAATTACTAAAAGAACACAAATTACTGATTCAGCATTACTATTTAATTCTTGTTGGATTTCGCCCTAATACATGTTAAAGAAATTAGAAGAAATAATGGAAAAGGGGAGACAAAATTATCATCATTTGCTGGTAAGGATCTTTATTAGAGAATTAGTAGAACTCATGAAAGTTTAATGGAGTAGCTAGTTGAATGTTAGTTAAATAAAATATTGCAATATTCTATAAATCAGTTTTTCCCCAATTAGATAATATGATGAGAAGATATACTATTTCCTACAGCAAAGCAATTAAAATGTACTCTGTCAGATAAAGACAGCTTGAATGAATGGTGGAACTTTTTTTAAAAAAAGTAAGATGTCAGTTATTTCTAATTAAGGTATAGTTTTGATATAATTCTGATAAAAATATCAATAGGTTCTGATGTCTTGAAGAATAAATAGGCATGCACACACATGTTACACATATGATCTAAAAAATAGAGAGGTTGATAGTGACAAACTATTAATTGGTTAAACATCCTACAATTATTTTCATTAGGATAGTGTGATTTCATAAGGTTAGGGAAGCTAATAATGATACAGAATCGATTGCCACAAAAGTGACATTTTTAAAGGAAGTTGATATGTTAATGGTGAATGGAAGGAATTCACCAGCTATTCAGAGAAAGAAAAAGAAAAATGCCTATTATATATCAAAGTAAATAAATCCCAGGTGGATTTAAAGCTGGGGTTGGCAAAATACCAGTTATCGGCTAAATCCAGCCTTCCCTTTGTGTTTCTGTTTTGTTTTTGTTTTTTTTGCACACAGTTTTTGTAAATAACGTTTTATTGGAGCATTGCCACATTCATTCATTTACATATTACCTCTGGATGCTTTTGCTCTACTAGGACAGAGTTGAGTGGTTCTGATAGAATGGCTTGCAAAGTTGAAAATATTTAATATCTGGCCCTTTGTAGATAAAGTTTGTTGACCTCTGGATTAAAGGACTATTGTAAACAGTGAAACCACATTCTTAGTGTCTTATTGCAGAAGTAGAACTTTGTAAGAAGTAGAAGGAATCGCAGAGGTAAAAAGTGTCAGCTTTTTGGCATAAATAATGGAAACTTCAGTACATAAAATTTTAACTCAGAGTACATATTGAGAAAAATGTTGGTAACATGCTAATATTGTTACATTCTAATACTTTTTTTGTAAATGGATATTAAAAAGAATCACAAAGTGAAACACCAGTGGGGAAAAGACTTTTTTTTTTTTATATATCTTTATTGATTTCAGAGAGAGGAAAGGAGAGGGATAGAGAGATAGAAACATCAATGATGAGAGAGTCATTGATCGGCCGCCTCCTGCACGTCCCCGACTGGGGATGGAGCCCGCAACCCGGGCATGTGTCCCGACCAGGAATCGAACCCCGATCGCCTGGATCCTAGGTCGACACTCAACTGCTGAGCCATGCCCGGACGGGCGGAAAAGACTTTTAAATGGCTTTTTCCACAAATTACTAGAATAAATATAATTAAGTGTTGTTTTTTTAAAACAATCTGTCATTGTGTATCAAGAACCTTTACCGTGTATCTAATTCCACTATAAGGATCTTTTCTTTAGGAGTTAATCCTAAAAATGAGAATGTGAGTATTCTTCATGGAATTACTGAAATGTGTGGAAACAAATGGAACAATACTGAGTTGGGGTTATATAATATCAGTGTCATGTAGGGCCATCAAATGGAGCCTGAGTCCAAAGGAAAAATCAGTAGTACTGATCTTGTCCTTATTTATTTAAAGTTTTGGTATTATATTCATCATGTATTTTTGCATTTTTTATTTTTAGAAGTATTCCATTAACATAATATTTTATCTTGATTACTGAGGTTTTTGGTGCTTTAATTTTATGTTCGAGGCAAGTGCCTCACTCACTTCACCCCAATCTCTTTTCCTGTGTGATCTGCTATGTCTGTTAAAATATATCAGTATTTCTCAAACTTGAGTAATGTACAAGCACCCTCACCACAAAGAAAGGGAGTATGCTGGAGTTATCTGAGAATTCCAAGAATAAGAAGTCTTGAGGGGTTTTGCAAGTTCCAGTGTGATACACAATGAATTAGTCTACCACTTTGGGATTTACAGTGCAGTAATATAATTGTAAAGGCAAACAGCAGCACTGAAAACTTTTAGTATAACTCAGTTGTATGTGGTTATTTACGACTTAAAATATGTTTACATTCACTAAAAATGTCATTGAAATAAAGACACAGTTTTAAAAAAATATTCTTGTAGAATTCTCAGACTCCCTAGAGTATATCTGTAGACCTCAAGGACTCTTGGACTCCAACTTAAAAACACTGATATTTAGCCACTAGAAGTTATTTTGGAGTAATAGTTAATAATATGCAAATGCTCAGTTGATTCAAATGATCAAAAAATCACTTTATGAGAATGGTATATTCAGTATAATCACAACCATGTAAAGAAAGAAAACCTGAATGCAGGAGGGGAAACGACTGGAAAGAAATACGCCAAAAGAATAACCGTGGTTTTGTGGTGGTAGAAATATGATTACAATGTTTTTCTTACTCCTATTTGTCTAAATTTTGTATAGTGAGTGTGTATTACTTTTATAATAGATAAACACCAACTTAAAATACTGTAATAATATTAAGAATTAAAAAAATACTTTGTAAATATCTTATAGTACTTACTGTAGGCTAATTAGATAGCTGCTTTTATATTTGGCCTTTTACTCTCAGCATATACAAACTTATTCCCTTATTGTAATTATATTTTGCTATTTTTTTATTAATGTAGTAAATAAACATTTTCCACCCCTATATAGCTACAGTAAAATGTCTTCAATGTTTGGATTTCTTTAGATACATTATTTATTCTTTCATCTGTATATTTATTTATTTTTCTTTTTTTTTTTTTAAAGGAGTTTAGTCATGGCCAACAGCAAAAAACTCAAGAGGGGGAACTGAAAATTAGTGCTGTGTTTTCAGTCAGTGGCAGTCCTCTTGGTAAGAGACAGAACTGAATGAATTATGTTTGTTTATTCTGACCAATATGAATGAGAAGAAGTATCTACTTGTATTAGTAAGCTAAGCAGTTCTCTCTGCCCAGTTAGAATGGCTTTAATTGTGTATTGCTAATTAGTATTGGGTTTTATGACCAGTTCTAGAAGAGAAAGATGCATACTTAAAATTCATGGTAAAAGTAAAACATTTTTTTGCAATTTTTTTTTTTTAAAGCTCCACAGTTGACTACTGGCTTTCAGCCTCCTCTGGCGTCATCTGGCATGAATAAAATGCTTCCTTCAGTTCCAGCCACAGCTATTCGAGTTTCCTGTTCTGGTTGTAAAAAAATCCTCCAGAAGGGGCAAACTGCTTATCAGAGAAAAGGGTCTACACAGCTTTTCTGCTCTACACTGTGCCTCACTGGATATACAGTTCCACCTGCCCGCCTGCCACCTCCTCCCACCAAGAAAACTTGTTCAAGTTGTTCTAAGTATAGCAGAATTCTAAATTATCTTCTTCCTTTCCTTTCTTTTAAGATACTTTGTTCTTATTCGTGTATTGTTTAATTTTCTACATTTCCATGGTTTTTGAGAAGTATCACATTATTTAGTACCAACAAATAAGTTGTTGCTTTCATTCTTTCTGGATGGCAGATGTTCAGCTTTCTTTTAACTTTAAATAATATGCCTTTTATATATTAGAGATGTTTTTGAAACTAATCTTTTCATCCTTGTTAGCTGAGATGCTTTATAAAACTAAAACTATACTATTTTAGAGGTATTGTAAGGCCAAAATATTTTGGTTATAACTATAAGCAGTAGATACTTAAATCCAACAAATATTTAAAGTTGTATTTCCTATTATGTAATTGGAATTCATTTAATATTTTTCTCCTTTAAGTAGATTCAAGTATATAT